AAACAGCATGGTTCTAGGAGTTTTTCGTGTCCAACACTATTTCCACCATGTTGTATATATCCTGGGCCTAATTCCTTGACTCCAGAACTATTCCACTGGCTCTATCGATGTTTTTGTTGGTAGGAATAATTTTTGTGTGCTAATATAAATTCTGCCTTACATTATATTGATTTTTCACCACTGTATATACATGAGGTAATTTTTTTCATCTTGCAGGCATGGTTGGGAAGCCCCTCTGCTCTTGTAACCCTTCTCTAGCGAGCACGCGCGTCTCCGCCAAGGGTTTGCACATCAGTGCTTTTCATTCCCTCTTAGAAGGCTGATTTTCAATTTATGTCCACAGCACCTTTCATCATTTATGTTAGGGAAAAGTGCCATGTCACAGGCTAGATCTCTCTCTTTCACCATTGAAGAGCCATTCTGTGAATGTAAGTTTGTTGTGTATCACGATCTCAGTCGCCCCGGGTAATCCATTCTCTAGATGCAGGAGGCTATCGCTGAATAACTTTGCTGTGCAAGCCGAGCGTGAGCATTGAGTCAGTTGTAGCAGAACTGTAAACTCGAGAAATTTCATAACTATCTCATCCTAGTGTTATTGGGATTGGGTCTGTGTGTGGGTCATATGTTTTTCCCCCTGTCTACAGCTATAATAGCTTCCCTTGCCAGCTGCACATTCGGCTTCACGTTGAGTGTAAGCTGGCTCCATCAAGCTTCGCAATCTGCCATCGGGAATAAGAAATTTATAAGACACAACAAATACACGGCTTTGGGATAACCTCTGCTTGTGTGGTTTACTGTTACGGTGGCTCTTTACTGCTTTACCATCCATGAAAGTTCTCCTAGGATAGTACACGATGCGAAAGAGTATCAGCAGTAAGGGTGTAATGTAGTATTTGAGCTCACTTACGAGCACATCAAGCAATAGTGCTGGCCTGATCCTGGTACGTCTGCAGTATGCCGTCGAGGCAAAGATTTCTGCATGTCCTCCAAAACCTAGATATTCAGGGATATAGACACGAACCTTCCACCATACATTACGACCTACACTGTCACTACATTGATGGTGCCGGGATTGTAGGTGTCACGACTCATAGTACTACTATGTTATGGATACGGAGCTTTGCCTACCAATATCTGCAAACTACAGATACACGTGGAATCCATTGACCATTCTCGATTTGATTATAGATCTCGATTTCGAGATAGGAACAAATGTGTGCGTGATGAGTGGGTGGGGTCTGGGCATGAGATACAGTATTATAAAGGCTCGCGAGTGCTATTCCTGACACCCTCAGGTACCAAGAAACCTGTTTTTTATCTATACCATAAATATCTATGTCTATACGACTTATCCAGAAGTTTTAAACATACTTCGTACCACCGGCACAGGTATTTTAATTTAGCGTAAAATCTATGCTTCCACAAACTGCTATGAGAACAGGAGAGAGATATACCTCATCCAAGTCCTTTGTTCTTCGCTTTGTGCGGTACTTCTTCTTGATATGTTTGTCATTCTTGTGAGCACGCTTCCTCCTTCCTCCTGCCCCGGCCCCCATCACGCACGCTCTCTCGCCTGGCCACACCCCCTCGATTTTCGCGTCGCTCTCCGTCTCCCGCGCCCGCGCGGTGTATTGTACACGTGGTCTGGCCTAGCCGAGATGATGGACGACGAGAGTTCGATTGAGATGGGTCCCTTAGTGGAATTTTGGGGTGATTGCTTTTAGTCTTCTCCGTTTTTCATCTGCTAACCTAAACGCAGGTGTGGAGCTGTCTGGGAAGTGTAAGAGTGTTACGTGGCCAGGTTCTGAGGAAGAGTTCGAGCCTGATGTTACTGTCCGTCTGGAACTAAGACAAGTTAGCCCACTGGCAGAGGTGTGAAATGTGTCTCCTGTTTTTGCATTAGGCATGCCTAGGAGCAAAGGCCAAGGTTGGAGAGCGTAATGTGGTGGAACTAACTGCGGAAGATGAAGAGGGGGATAAAGCTACACACTCTATCGTTTCACTCACAGTTGGCGGCACAGAACAGGTAAATAGACAGATTGGTGGCTGCCTATCCCAAGCCGTAGGTATATCTTGCCTTCTGGCTTCCTGACGGCAGCCCACATTAAAACTGGCGGTAGTTTGGTCTTTTCTCTGCAAATGTACAGAGGATAAAGATTTCATCCCCAGGCACATTTCTTGTTCAGTCTGAAAAATTATTAACTGATGTGTTGTTTTTGCAGTCTCCGCTATTTTTAGACATTATCCCACCAGTAACATTCAACCTGGCAGCAGGTAACGTGAGAACAATATTACATCTTTCGCATTCAATGACCCCTTACTCCCAGGGTCTGGACCAATTCACATAGTGGGCAATGTGTACACAGGTATATATATATACCCTCCCTAATGAACCGAGTGGAGTGAGCGTTGTTCTAATGCCCTATCAGAATTGGGAGAATTACCCAGCGATGATGAAGAGTCAGATGAAGAAGATGGTAAACAGTGTTATTTGCTGTATATATAGCTACTTGCTTGCTTGTTTTTTCCCCCAGAATTTTCCAACAATGAAGTTGTCAGACGTCGCAAGAGAACAGCAGATTCTCCTCCAAGAAAATTGGCCAAAACTAGAAAAAGAGGTTACTCGTGAGTTACTAGAGATGTTAGTTACAGCTACCTGCTGCAGTAAAGGAAAACGGAGATGGCAAGGACACAGTACTAGAAAATGAACGTGACGAGGAAGAGGAGGAGGAGGAAGAGGTATTTGATTACTGTACATTATTCAGTGAGTTGTGATGTGTGTCCAGAATGTGTGAGTTGTGATGTGTGTCAGGAATGTGATGTGTGAGTTGTGATGTGTGTCAGGAATGTGATGTGTGAGTTGTGATGTGTGTCAGGAATGTGATGTGTGAGTTGTGGTGTGTGTCAGGAATCTGACGAGGAAGATGAGTCAGAGGAAGAATCTGAGCACGAGAAAGACGATAAACCTCCTCAAAAGGTGTGTAATTGTTGACCGGCCACAAATTTATGTCAACTCTTTCTTCAGCCTGCTTTGGTAGCTAAACCAAAAGCCAAGAGTGTGCAAAAATCTACGAAGTCTGCAGTAAGTGGTGTGTGGTGCTGTGTCACGGTCAGAAATGATTATTGTTTAGGCATTGTCAAAGACACCCCAGCCACCCAAGGCCTCTAAAATGTCAGGGAAAACATCATTTTCAGCTCCAAATACAGTATGTGGAGTATAAGTTGATAGCAAGTGATGAGCAATTTGTATTACAGCCTGAACAAAAGTCTGCTAAAAAGGGGTCAAGTAAGGTAAGACCACCATATATACTACAGGTGCACATTGTGTGTGTTAGGAGGTAGATGCACGTTAGGAAGCCCCAATTCTTGTCGCTGTTGGCAAACTTCCATTGGGTAGATACACACGTCATGTCCTGGACTGGTATTATAGGCACTGTTTTACCACTTAGTTACCCATGAACATGGGAGACATGAAGGAGAAGCTAAAGAAGGTAGGCAATTCACTTTTCCTAGAAACTTTTTATCGAATTATTCTTTCAAAAGACTCCAAATTTACCAAAGAAGTTGGACAAGTTTAACAATTATATCCAGCAGAATTTCAAGGTCACAGATGACAAGGTGTGTTTCTGTCAGTGTATGTACATGTCAACAGGAGGTCTCTATAATTATGAAGCCAATGGTGTGCAGGTGAAGAAACAGCTGTGGGAGTTTGCTCAGAAGGCTCGGGTTACCAAGTGATCACACCTGATCCCTACTCTAGACTAGACTGAATGATCTCGAAATATTTACAACTTTGATTTTTTGCTGCTATAACCTGGGTCTCCAGGAAAGAGAAAAAAGTCAATTCCTCTTTTCATAGTAACAGTCATGACAGCTCCGGCCTTTGAACTGTCTGTGGCAAGCTGGAGGATGGCTTCTGCCACTTGCTCTGGCCTACGGCATAAGTTGTCAGATAGTGTGCATACCGTTATAATACTCACTGCAAGATCCCCACACTCTGAACCATCTCCAGCTGCTCACTAGTCATGCTGGCGGTTGCTAGCATAGCAGTGTCCGTGAATTCAGGGCATACACAGTTGACCCTTATCCCATCACGCTCCAAACACTCCTGTTATTAATGGACTCTGTTACAACAATCATGACTGGGGAAGCCTGCACTCACTGTCATACTTCTTGTGAAACCCACTATCCCAAATTTGCTGGCACTGTAGCTTGGGCCAAAGGGCATGGGAAGAATGCCTAACATAATGAGAGCGAGGACGGGTCTATAGATGAATGGCTAGGGCTAACCGCCCATTGAAGACACATTGATGACGACACCTCCTTCTCCACCTCGGGTGTGGGACATGAACTCCACAGCTAGGTGTGTGCTCTCCATCATTGCCACCTGTATAGCCCTACTCATCCATAATTATTTTGATAGGCCACACCAACCTACCATATTCACTGCTATCATCTTCTTCCAGTTTTGCTCATCAGCCACTCCAGCATTGTTGCAGACAATGCTGACTTTCCCAAATTCTTTGATGGTTGTTTGAAACATCCGTCTCTGCCAAAATGCTAGCAGTAGATTACAAGTATACATTGTAACAACAAACCAGCTGCATCGAGTCCGTCACGTCCGTAGGGATAAAGGTAGCAGCATTTCTACTGAATTCTTTCTGGAGCTCACTACATGTGGCCACACCCACTGTCTCGTCAATGTCCGCCAAGCCAACCTGTGAAATCTTCTGTAGCTCTGAACGTTTTTCTTTGGATAGTATAACCTTTGCTCCGTGTTGAAGCATCAGACGAACAGTAGCCAGCCCTATACCTCTAGCGGCGCCGGTTACAAGTGCAACTTCTCCAGCAAGCAACATCTTCTGGCCCCGCCTACAAGAGTGTGCGAAGATTTTCAAGATGACGTCGGCGAGTGCTACTAGTGGTGACTTGGCTTACCCGGCAGACTGGGAAGATGAAGATCGGATGCATTTCCTCCTTGGCTCTTTCCCTCCAACTGCTGCCTCGTCGAGTCTATCCCTGGAGGAGCAGAAGGTTCAGTTTTGGAGCTCACTGATCCACAGTGTCAGTCGTGCCACCCGCCGGCCGGTGTTCTCTGTCCGAGAGATAGCTGAAAGGTTGCGTTTTCACCCAGTGGCCCCATGCTATGATAACCGTTGCTCGGTAGATTGCAGTGGAGAGGACAGACGCCCTCCTGCCTGAAACAAGTGCTAGATGTGATGAGACAGCGAAGGCAATTGTGTCTGATTCAAGACCTGTTGGAGAGTGCAAATGAGCAGGGTTGGCTTTCCTGGGGGGCTGGTATTCTTAGTAGCCCAGTTAAGTGGGTATGGCGGAAACACCAACCACCCATCCATTTCATGGACATTGTTTATGTAGACACCCAGCTACTGAAGGTAAAACTCAAGCTACCAACAGTCAGTTGAGAATGAGAATGACTGTGGTTGCAGGATGCAGCAGATTCTGTCTTGAACCAACTGCAGTCTATGGTAGAGTTCAGAAACACAGACCAGGTTGTAAGTGGAGATAAGCTGAAGTCAGTCAGTCTGGAAGTGGTGGAGAGCTCAGCTGCGGAAGCTGTGGAGCTGGAGCTAGTGAGGCGAGGCAAGGTCCGGTGCAGGACATTCAATGGCCAGAAAGTAGGCAGCTTATTCCCATGATCTTTACTGAGACAACAAGTGGCCCACAGATTATAAAGTTTTGCATGACCGGAGACCACCTACCAGTCAATGTCACAGACATGGATCTACACATTCTTAGGTGCCAGTTTACCCATATCCCCCTACACACATCTTTCACACTCATTGCATATTATAATACAAGGCATTTTTCAGTATCAAGGAAACAATTGCTGACTTGGAGACACATACATCATCACTGGCAAAGAGAACCGCAAGGTGATAGACATTCTGGTTGTTAAAATAAGGTGGTGGAATAAACCTTGTCTTTGCTCAGAATGAAGAAGGAAGCCAGGAACCACCTGCAGCAGAAGCACCGAGAACTGGTGTGCTAGAACATGCAGTGTGTAGGAGGCAGGATATAGGCTTTCCCTCATGCAGGCACTGTCTTATTTGCGGCGAGGTCGCGGAGCACAGCAGAAACTTGTCAGCAAAGCAGCAATGCTAGCAAATGTAGAAGATATTCTGCACCAGATTCAGATGGCAGAAACCAATGCCTTGGTTAGGAAATTGCTTTATTACAGTAGCTATGTCATGCCCACATAATATGTAGGTGCTGGAAGCATATCAGAAGGTAGAGATGTGCTAAGACCATCAGCATGATGCATGCTCGTGCAGAGGAAGTGGTTGATGAAACCTCCTGAGGTATATAGGGAGTCTCTAATTATAGGTGTGTGTACCTGCAGGCTGTCTGTATATATACTAGGTGATCCAAGAGAGTGAGGAGGTGGAGCAATATTGGGGGAAATGTTGAAATGAAGAACTGGAGAGAGAGCTGGAAGCCTTGCTACCGGTCCTGACCGCAGCACAAAGCTATGACTTGCAGAACAGTTATCCCAACTAGAGCTGTTTCACCACCAGACGCTGACCAACACAAATTATGGCTCAGAAAAGATACCGCAGCACTCCACTCCACTGACACATTACTAGAAAGTATCACATCATCATTATCATTTTAAAATTATAAGCAAATTGAATTGGCAGGCCATGCTAGGAGCAGAAGTGATTGCACATGTATTCCACACTACAATGTGGCTGCACTGGCTACAAACATATGTGGATAAAGTCCTAGCAGCAGCACTAACCATGGCACCCACAGTAATTGGCCACTCTTCAAAAGCTGCCATGGATCTCGTTAACACCATGGCTCACTTGAAGGGGTTCGACCATTTTAGAATCAGGCACAAGATGGCATGCCACCGCTGCTTGAGGCTCGACTACATACACAGATGGTGATGCCGCCGTCCCATGTCACGCGGTATAGTATAGTTGCTGCGTCCAGCTGCACCTTGTTGCAGTGCTGACAGCCATACCTGTCGTACGCACCGCGAGACTGCAGGACTGCAGTACCAGATGCCACTGGATCTTGCTAGCCTTGAATACCGTG